CATCACTGCATCAAAGATGAAATGTTATAGACAATCTGCATTACCCTTCCCCCAAATTGAAACTGACCATTTGCTTTTGATAATAGAAGAAAACCACTCTTCATATATTGGTTTCATATATTTTGTTTTCATATATTTTGTTCATCTGAAAACTAAGACCCTTACATGTACTTTACATATTTCTTTAAATATAGCAGTGAAGTATATTGTTCTGATTGAGAGTAGCTTGTGTATTGCCCTTCCTTGACCTAATAACTGACCTGAGAAGGGACTTGGAATGAGAATGAGGATGACAACATTAGTCTCAGTTGGCCTTTGGGAACAGATGATACAGGAAACTTCATTGTGACCAAAGACTTCTGTAACCTCATGAGATAAAAAATTCAGCGGGCAAATTTTACTGCCACATTACTAATTAAATCAGTTTAATTCATTCCTGTCATATACTTAAGAGCGGATGCCTCAGTCCATATTGAAATGTACAAAGAGAATCTGTATTAATTGAACTACACGAATTTGAGGCAGGGGAGCTGTCCAAGTGCTGACTCTGAGGCAAGCTACTGCATCCCCGGTCTGAGGCTTATCTCCATGCACACTGCACATGCAGTTATTTAAGGCATGTGCCCACACCCTACACTCTTGCAGCCACTTTTCCAATACTTGATTCCAACACAGAAACGTAATATTCATACTAAGGATAGAAAAACATGAGTACCTTAGAAAAATGCAGGCACTGGGCTTTTACCATGGAAATTGTGGTGTATGATTTCCAATTAATTCCTTATTATGTTAATTAAATTGTACTGTAAATCATTAAGACATGTATTACTCTGGATATACAGCTTATACACCTTAATACTGAGACCACTGCTCACAGCCTTTTTGTTGATTTTTTTAAAAAAAAATCTTAGATCCATTTTTAAAAGTGGAAGATTGTATTTTTAATACATAAAACTTTAATTCTCTTATTTTTCCATAAATATGTAGTATCAAAAAATCAGACCTAAAATGATATTTTAGTTTTAGAAAAAGGCTTTTCTACACTTTTTTTAAAGTGCTTATTTTCTAATCCAAGTTTTTAAATTAATTTAAATTACTTTTTCTGTCTTATTAGTTTTAAGTCTTTAAATAAATTATATGTTTGTTTTAAATGTTTAAATAATTCTTATTTATTTTTAAAATAATTACATAATTATTCTCTTTAATTTATATGTATTTTCTTATTATATCTTATTCATCCTTATTTCCTTAGTGGTAGGTATCAATTGTAGGAAATAACATCGATATCTTTGATAATTTTTCACTTAAGTATAGCTTTTGATGAGATGTATGTTTTAAAATATCCATTTGTATATTATGTCTGTAAAAGTTATTTTTATAGAATAATGTTTAAAAGGAATATTTTTTAATAATTTGAGCCAAAATAATATACTTATCTTAAGTATTTACAGACTACATGAAAAAGTCTTTTTTTTAATATGAATTATCTACTAGAGTTTTTCTCTTAAAAAAAAAAACAAACATGTTGAGAGTCCTTGCCCATTGACAAACGAAAATGGATATTTGCTATTAGATATGTAATAGTAATAATAATAACAGCAACATAGATGCAAGTGTTGAATTTGGAATGTAGAATACTTGAACTCTACCCAACGGTATCAAAAAAAAAATCTGTTTTTACTAAGTTTCTTTTTATCAAACAACTTTCTTGCATTTGAATATGCATGTGTTCCTTTGGGCTAGCAAGTAGTATCTATGTTGTTCACAGACATTGTCTGAAACCATATGTCCTGATCACCATGTTGAAGAATGTTGGGCATAGAGTTTTCAATAGTCAATCTCAGGCCGACCCCAAGCAAACCCACTTGAATAAAACATCAAATGTACATAAAACAGGTACTCTATGTGTCTTAGCATTCCATCTAAGTTATAGATTAATTAAAGGATTATACATATGATATGGAAGCAGACTACCTCCCTTACCAATGTATAATTTCTTGAGAAAAGCATTCACTGATTGTTCAGGCTTTGTCCTACAAGTATAAGAAAGAAATTTCTTCTGTTCTATGTTAACCATAGCCTGAAAAGATACTCAGTTTCCACATAGACTCTTTTAGGAGTTTCTTTAAAATTTGTATTCATCTACATTCTTCCCAGAACAGAAAAAAAAGCAAACAAAACAGACATAAAAATAGCAACATTAGGAAATATTCTAGGCTAATTGCTTCACTGCTATTTTAACAGATTAGATAGGTATCTAAAGGGAAGATTATTCTAATAATGATACAATTGCAACATTTATATAATATTTATTATGTGAAACGTATTTTAATACTTTCACATATATTAATTTATTAAATCCTCAAAACAGTGCTATTAATTTTGGAATGTAGAATACTTGAGCTCTACCCAAAGGTATGGAAGAAATCTACTCTAAGCAAGTTTCTCTTTATCAAATGCCTTTCTTGTATTTGAATAGCCGTGTATTTCCTTGGCCTAGTAAGGAAACATTACACCCATTTTAAATATCAGGAAGTTGGAGAATGAAAGGCTAAGGAACTCAGTTAGAGAAATAGTGTAGTGAGTGGCAGAACCTGGGCTGTGTGATCCCAGAACTTGGATTCTAACTACTACTTTATCCTGTTCAAACGCTTGTTTTTCAAAGACAACTCAAACAACCCAATTTAGGCACAATCCACTCAGATTCTGCTTTTTAGAATTCAATGCAATCCCCCTCTTACTATTTATTCACAACTGACTCTGGATATACAATTTCTAGTTAAAGTTAGTCACTAGTCAAAATTCCAGAAAATAGTATTGAATAATCATTAAAAAGAAACCATAAAGCATATTTCTATCAAGTAGCACTCAGAAGGAAAAGATCCGGGATTTATATCAAATATTTTTACCTGATAAATTAATAAAAACTAACATATATTGAGAATTTACAATATTCCAGACATGATGCTGTTTTACATGCAGTAGCTAACTTACACTTTGTTATCACAGTATAGGATAGGTGCTATTATCCTCACTTTACAAATGGATACTTAAAGAATCAAAGGACTAAGTTGCTTACCCAAGTGTCAGAAACAAAATTTCAATCCAGATAATATTGAAACTGCTTAATAAAAAAAAATGTAACAGTCTCAAGTCAGAGGTCAAAAGGAAATATTTTAAAAATAAGAAGGTTATTGAGGAAGGAAGTTTCCATGCTCAAGTATAATTCAAATGCAATACAATTTTTGAAAACCAACTAACAAGATAAAAATCAGCCACAGACTATGACAAATAGGAAAAAAAAAAAGCAAACAACTACTCTATCTTCCCATTATGCCATAGTAGGAGAGTGCTCATAAAATTGTCAATAAAGTAAAGATAAAATTAAACTTTTTTAAAGCATAGACATAATTAACCTGTGACAATTACTCACACTGGATGGTAATGAAGCAGGTAGCTTAGTGAAATTGAGAACATATCTGATTCACTCTAATGAGATTTTCAGTTAGATCAGATCACATGTTGTATTAGTCATTTTGAGTCAGGGCAAATGCTGATTAGCAGGAAAGGTTACAAAAGAAAATTTTCTTTTTTTTTTGACAAGGTCAGAAGGGTTGTGCAATTAAAGAATGTTATAATAGTGCATAGCCAGCATGGCTCAATGATTGAGCATTGACCTATGAACCCAGGGGTCATGATTTGATTCCAAATCAGGGCACATGCCTGGGTTGCAGCTCCATCCCCAATGTGGGGCATGCAGGAGGCAGCTGATCAACAGTTCTCTCTCATCACTGATGTTTCTATCTCTCTCTCTCACTCTCCCTTCCCCTCTAAAATAAATATATAAAATATTTTAAAAGAATATCAAATCTGTATTACATCTGCATATGAGGCAATACATGCCATATAGAGTGCGAATGCACAGCTCTGTCTCCAATGTACTACCTCTTGCTTTGTCCAGTAAGTTGCAGTTCCTTATCTCATATGCAGGAAGAAGAGGCTTCCCTGGTTTTAAAAGAAAAGGAGTTCACAGTAATTTCTCATGCAATAGGCAGTGGTTCTCAACCTTCCTAATGCTGCAACCCTTTAATACAGTTCCTCGTGTTGTGGTGAGCCCCAATTTCACTGTTACAAATTGAACATAATTAAAGCATAGTGATTAATCACAAAACAATATGTAATTATATATGTGTTTTCCAATGGTCTTAGGCGACCCCTGCGAAAGGGTCGTTCGGCCCCCAAAGGGGTCGCGACCCACAGGTTGAGAACCGCTGAAATAGAGGCATGGAACTACAATTACTGTGCTGTAGAGAGTTCGGAGGGTAGTTTACAAAATGGCAAAAAGTAAGGAGGACCCACCATAGGAGCAGTGCCTTTTTAAAGATCTCTACATTGGAGATGATCTGACTTGGAATTTTACCTCAGTTGTACACCTCTTACGTGATAATAGATTATAAACCTTCACTTTCAGAGTGTTAGAGTTTACCTGAAGTGTATGCATTAGGTGAATTTGTAAGATTATATATTTATAACATTACTTTGGGTTATTAATGCCTATATCTTATAGAAGCTGCAGTGGTGTCCTTTAATAGAAGTATAGATACATGGAACAAATTGTCTGGTACCCGAGGAAAGGTGGGTAGGAGGGGACTGGATAATGAAGGTGAAAGGATTAGCTAAAGAACATATATTCATACTCCATAAGCATGGACTGTAATTTGGTGAAGACCAAGGGAGGAGGTGGGCAAAGGGGACCTCTGCAATAATGTCAGCATCAAACAATTTTAAAGAGATAAATGTAAAGAACATACAATTTTAAAAAAGCACAATGGCATTCAAAATAAAATTGAACAACATTCTATGGAATGATAACATCTGCACAAATCACACTATGAAGAAATCATTTCTTTTTTAATTAAACTCTTTATGAAGCAGAACATAAGCAGTGAACACTATTGAGAAATGTGTTCCTTTCCTGTTCATGTTCTTGCTGTTTTCAGACCTGGACAATGTAGAAGGCATTGCTGTGGACTGGATTGGACATAACCTTTACTGGACAAACGATGGCTCCAGGAAGACCATAAACGTGGCCAGGCTGGAGAAGGCCGCTCAGAGCCGGAAGACCCTTCTGGAGGGAGAGATGTCCCACCCCAGAGGGATTGTGGTGGATCCTGCTAATGGGTACGAGATCTTTATTAGCTTTATGTAAGGAAATTACATTAAATACATTTGTTTTGTTTTTAAAATTCACATGTGAATTCACACATGAATGGTCTGATTGGAAAAAGTTACTTATTTAGCGATTTGCTCCCCTAGAGAATGTGCTAAATAAATATGTCAAAAATACATTGAACTGAAATAAACAGATCATTTGTATGAAGGATATATTTACTTGATTTATTCAGACAAGCACCATGATTCTCCATTTTAGACAGCCTGACACCAAGATAAATAATCAGAGAATCAAGCAATTTAACTTTTTAAAGGCTATTGAAATGTAATGTATTCAAAAATAGCCAGTTTTTTTGTACACTTGATGTGTGGGCCAGTCATTTTGTTAAATGGGTCACTATGCTACTGTTCTGCAATCCTCACAACAATCCTTTGAAATACTTGCTAACCTCATCCTTGTTTTATGAAGGAGAAATTGGTAACTGATCTTTAAAAGACTGTTTAATTATTGAGAGATTGGGTAGATTTAAACCCCAGCGCTTGTCTCCAAGACTTTATTCATAGCCACTATACTCTGCTACTTTTTTAATAGTCTAGATTGGTAATCATATAATTTTAGACATAACTATAGTTTCCATACCGTGACATCGTTTTATCGTGTGCACTATTCGTTTTAGTGTGGACTATTTTGTGCAATTCCTGGGAATATATTCCTTTTTGATGTTTATTCAGAGTCATTACCTGAATATAATAGTGAGCGTATAGAAATATCAGAGAAATGTGAAAATTCCTAACAGAATCTCAGAATTAATTGAGTAGATTGCATATTTTTACATATACAACTGTTACATGTGGTTTTTTACCCCCTCCATGGCTTACATTTCACTATTTCAAAACAGCATCACCAAAGAAATATTTTTCATATCTTATGACAAACATACAAAACAGACTTAATTAAAGAGGAAGCATATGACTCCCTTATAGGCTGAGGTCACCTTTTCTAGAATTATTTGTCTGGAGAACAGCTGCAAATATAATTCGGGTGCTTCCTCTGAGGCTGACACCCAAGCAGTGAATGAATTCATTGTATGTGTTTCGGGAAGACATAATTATAAAGTAATATCAGTGATTGTATGGTAGATTCTGTAATTATCTACTCTATTCCTGGGCTTTTAAACCAAGTCACCTATCTGACCTTTAAACCAAGCCAATATTAATTGTAAGAGAAAAATATTTATTCCACACGGTCTAATTCTACTTGAAGCAAGATGTTTTAAATGTGCCTTAAAACAGCATCTTCTTTCTCGGTATTCTGTTAGAGAAAAAATATCTTTTGATAGAATGAAAGGGTCATTGTGAGGCTCAGGAAGATGATGCCAACGTGGAGGCCATACAATCATATGATTAGGGAGGACATTTAGAAGCCACTAGTTCCATCTCTCTATTCAAATTTAGGAATCTCTTTCAACGCTTCCCTAATAGGCAGGCATCCAATTTTATGTGAAACCTATAGCATCTACATAGTTTGTAGTATTTGGGGGAAATTCTGATTGATATGTTTTTTCTTTTCTTTAAGGCAGTATCTGCATCCCCTGTGATTATTGCCTTATAACTAACCCTCTATTTGCCTCTAGTGTTACAAAGAATGACTCTAATACCTTTTTCATCCTATGGATTTTCAAATAGACTACTATTCTTATGCACTAACCTGTAAAACAGACACATATGTGCATATATACATGTGTGTATGTATATATTTTCCCTAGAGATATACTATGCCCAGCACTTTGTACCAGGTATATAATGGTTAATAAAATAGGAATGGTCTTAACCTTATGAAGCATCTTGTGTTACCTGCAAGGTGAGGGAGTGGAGATAGACCAAAGTGATGGAGGAAGACAAAAAGGTGAAGACTAAGGGTAGAAGCCTGTTTAAATCGGTTTGCTGAAAGGCCTCTTTAAGGAGCCATCAGGTAATCTGAGACTTCATTGCAGAGAAGGACTCAGCCATGGACACTGAGGAAAAGTGTTCCAGATAAAGAAAATGGTACATTTGAGGATATTAAGTTGGACGAGGATTGAGTGTCAGAGAAACTGAAGTGAAAACAGCGGGGTTGGATTGCAGAGAGCAAGGGCGAAGGTGACGCAGGTGCAATTGAAAAGGACAGTGGGCCCTTGCCCACCAGGATGCGAGCTTTGTACTTTGTCTTCAGTGTTAAAATAGGAAATTAATATAATCATGTTTATATTAAAAACACTAATTTCACTATGCTGTGAAGAATGGATGGAAGATGTAGAAATAGAAATGTAACTGTACAAGTTTAATTATTCAAATAGTTTGTTTGACCCTAATACAATTTTTAAAATGAAGAAGAAACTTCAGCTCAGAAAACTGTATTTAAAATAACACGGTGTATCTTTAAGCAAAACTTCAGGGGGAAAAAACAATTTATTTACATTGTTTCTACCATAATATCTACTTGCAGCTGTATACAGAAGAAGAAAATCTGTGATTGCCTGTTAACAAAATTACTCTGTCAGAGGTGTTTTATCAAAAGCTTCATAACCAATTAGAGTCAGTTAAGGATTCATTTATTTTTCATTAAAGTATGTTTTTGATTACCATATAGATCAATATAAATTAGTAAGACAATAATTGTCCTGAAGGAGTTCATAATCTGGTGGGCTTGTGTACACACACACACACACACACACACACACACACACACTTACCTATTAAATAAAACAAATACATACATGATCCTCAGAAATTACTGAGGTTTTTAATACAGAATTGTTACTGGGTGAAAGGATTCCAAGATTAACAAAATTGTCCCAAGGGCTTGGGCTGTGCAGTCATAAGGTTAGTCACTGCTCTGAAGGGACAGGACAGCTAACTGAGAGGAAGGAAAGTCAGCGTGCGTTCTGAGGTGAAGTGACCTCATTAAAGCTGCAGCAGGTGGAATGTGAAAGAACAGAGTAGGAGACAAGGCTAGACATAAGCAGAAATCTTCAATGTTGTGATTAAAAGTTTGAATTTATTTTGCTGACAACAGAGTAATTGGAAGGTTTGAAGATAAAAGCCATACCTTTCAATTCATGATTTAGGAAGACAAGTGACAGGTATATGAGAAGCAACCCATTAGGCGTTCCCTTTGAAAAGGGATGAAAGGCAGACTGTAGCATTTGTAATAGGAACAGAAACGTGGGGACAGACAGGAGAGACTGAAAGGATTAGATTGCAGGCCTAATTAGATTGTTGAAATGGGGATAAAGTGGAAGGAGGAGTCAATTAGGATGCCATTGTTCCCCGGCTGATCATTGCAGATGAACTCCCTCATCCTAATAATTTCACATTTCATAATGTATATCACTAACTTAGAAACCCACATTTCCAGTTCTCACTTCTCAAACTATCCTCCATACGACTGTGTCCAAAGCTCAGTTCACGTTTCCCCCCAAAGAGGATCTTGTGCAGCCTTATCCCAGCTGATAGTATAACACCCTCTTGTTAACAGCTAGATACCATTTCAGCAACAAAATCGATTTTTTTCAACAATAAAATTTGTTTTACTTCCATTACAGAGAAACTCTTAGGATTATAATATTTCTAGGATTGGCCATCAGATAATACAACTTAATTTAGAGACATGGTTAATATCAGCAAAGCCAAGCTTAGTATTACAAGCATACATATAAATAATAAAAAAATCCCTGCCTTTAATTATTTTTATCTTTTTTGGAATGATCAGTTATGCAGCACCATTAAATGCAATTCAAGAAATAAATGCAATAGATAATAAAACTAAAAGATGTCACAAGAAACAAAGGAAAGAGTCTGTTTTGACAGAAAGGCTAGGAATAAACTTCACCAAAAACTTGCATTTGAGCAGGCCTTGAAAGTTAGAGGTACATTTTTTTCTTGCTGTCCTAACAGAAGGCCAGCTTAACATTATTTTGATTTGATGGCTACCCCAAGTTCCACCTATAACAATGTTTATATTTGTTTCTGCTTATTTTATAGGTTATGTTTTCTATTTTCTGTATTTAAAAACCTTCACATTTGATGGTGATTATAAGGCTTTTACTATATAATATTCAATCAGATAATGAAATAGGAAGATAATGATAGCATATATAGTCTCTATCAAATTGGCATCACTTATTTAAATTTTTTTCTTTTTTTTGAAAATAATCTTAGTAACATCACAAAAATATTTCTTCAAATATAAAACAATACATAGTATGTTTAGAATATCTGTTATCATGCTTCATTCTTCTTCATTTATGTGTACATATATAGGTGTACACATGCATGTGCAATTTGGGTTAGAGACACACACACAAAAGTGTTACTATGTTCAAAAGAAAAGCTAGAGGGAAAGATAAATGCAATTTTAACAAGTTATAAATTGGCAACAAGAAAAATAGAGCATTGATTAACTGTATTTAAGATTTTATGAAAGTATCAATAGGGAGACAAAAGTTGCACATTTTCCTTTCACAGAATTGATTTAAATAGTTGAAGTTGAGTAGTTATATCTAACTATATAGGATTACAGCAAACAGAATGACCCCTTTGTTTATTCCTAACTTTCTCTAATAATAAAACCACTCAAAAAACACACAGGACATAAAATAAATATTGCCATGTTTATTTCTAGGATCAGAATGTATTTTGACTCAATAAAATTCACTAATCTTAATAAACTTCCTCAGTTCTAAAAAGGCATATCCACATAATTATAAAGATAAGAAAAATTTTAAAAGCTTCATGGGAGAAATGTTTGATTGGTGTGTTTCAGCCTAAATTGTCCCAAATCTGCCTGTTTAGATCACAGTAGGATTATTCGTCATGGATACAGATGTTTACCAGCTTACTTCAGAAATTCTTCAGGGTCTACAGAATGTGAGAGGTAGAGAATCTAATGAGGGTCTTCCTAGGGTAAGCAGCTTAGGAGAGCTTTGGCCCTTCACAAACTTGTTTATGAGGTGACTGAATTAAAGCCTACACTTTAATAACTCCAGCACTTTCGCATGACCCTAAAACAGCATGGGTGGAGGGGTTTAACCTTATTCATGAGGGAATGGCAGCATTCCCTCTCCCACTGTTGTAGCTGACACAGAATGATTTGTTCTTCAAGGCAGAAGCTTTTGTTTGAGATAGAAATTAAATCTCAGAATCTTAAGGTCAGTCAACCTACTGTTATTAAACTTATGTGCAGCTCAATCATCTTCTGTGGGTTTTGGGGTAATAATAAGCAGCCGTAAAGACCAGGTAATTTGCATCAGGAAGAAAAATTAGACCTGGCCAAACAATCGCAGTATGATTGTGCCTTTTAGTTCAAAGACAATCCTATTGCCTGCCTTGAAAACTAATAATTCATCTGAGATTTAATGAAGTCTGCGGTAGATCATTAACTGTACAAGGAGTTTTCATGCCAGTCAACGGGCTTTTTAATTGCATAGTTGATTATATGTTTTATAAAATGAACAGCATTTAAAAATAGTTAGTAATGCCTCACAAACCGTTTCCCAAACTTGCCATCAGCAACAAAGAAAATCAATATCTGGCACTTACTGTTAGCTTCATCACTGAGACCAGTAAAGTGTGGTAGTGTGTTTTCTGTAATGTGTCCAAAAGATGGGCTCCACTGAACACACCCTTACTTCCCTTGGTACTTCCCAGCCGCCTGCTCTCTTTGGCGGGTATGCATTTAAGTGGGAGAAAAAAAAAATGTAATTAGATTTTATGGAGGTGCCCCGTTTGCGGAAGTGGCCCTCTGTACAGAGGCTGGTTTCAATAACGTGTGCGCTCTTGTTTGTAATGTCGTAGCTGGATGTACTGGACAGACTGGGAGGAAGATGAGATAGACGACAGCGTGGGAAGGATCGAGAAGGCCTGGATGGATGGCTTCAATCGGCAGATTTTTGTGACTTCAAAGATGCTGTGGCCAAACGGTTTAACTCTGGACTTTCACACCAGCACCTTATACTGGTGTGATGCCTATTATGATCATATTGAAAAGGTGTTTTTGAATGGAACTCACAGGAAGGTAAAAGACAAATGCTGCTGGTTTTAATCCGCAGGCTTCTGCGTTTTCACAGAGCCTTGTTGTGCTGTGTTAAAAACACTTTCAAGTTTATTTTTACCGCTCAGAGGTGGCTGCCAGCGGTCTCGGTGGGGTGGCTGGAGGAGGCCGAGCAGCCACTGCAGCTGGCATTTGCCTCTGGGAGAGCAGGCCCGCTCACCGCTCACCGGGGTGTGCCAGGATTTGTGAGTTTTTTCCAAGAAGCTCTCAGGGTATCCGAGCTGCTTTAAAATGCAGCAATTCTACATTCTTGATGAGTTTGCTCTGACCAAGCAACCCTACTCTATTCAAACATCTTCAAATTTTGCAGCTGAAATTTAGCCTATAGATTATGAAAACTCAATTATAATGCATTTCCTTTAAAATAAAGGACTTCATGCCACTGAAATGGAAACACAAGAATAAACTGAACTTCAAGCTTGTTGGTATGATTAGATAGAAACTTCCTCTTGCCTCTTTTTGGAAGAATCATTGCAAAATGATTCTGAAATTCAGGGGTAAATTGAGAATGTCATTGACTGTGTGGCAGAGGCAGAGGCAGTGTTGAGAGAACATCACCTCTGTGTTTTTCCTTATAATTCCCTACGCATGTGTAACATTATAAACTAACTTCAACCGTCTAGTTAAATAATGGAAAAGTGGAATATTTAAATTTATCAAAATGCTGTCTTTGATACTACACTTCCGTTCTTCTTCTTTGGAAAGGAAGACTGCGCAATTGGCTAAGGCCATTCATTATGAATTCTGTTTGAGAAATAAATAGTATACTAATCAGTTAAGACTACTTCAGTCATTGACTCGCTCTAACAGTGCTTTAAATATTTTTCTCCAAATCAGTAAAATTCATCGCCATTTAAACTGTCACATACTTAACAGATACTAAATAAATATTTATGATTTCTTTGAAGATGTTTACGTGTATATAGTAGACATAACATTTCAATGGCCCATGTTTTAGCTTAGACTGAGGTGAGAAAATAAATAAGAAACTGTCTCAATTATTCACTATATGAAAATTTATTTTGAAGAATTCAGAAAAAAGGAGCAAAATTTGGACTGCTAACCCTACATTATTTTGATAACTTCCTCAATTCTCTAATATTAAATGAAGTGAATATAATATGCTTTTTCATATTGTATGCAATCCATTTTATAAATGGCAAAAGCTGAAAAAGTATTATAATTATTGGAGGTATTATTCCTTTTTTTCTCCCTACAACCCTACAAGGGAAACAGGACCTATCACATGATCGCTCTATTTAAAAAACAAAAATATAAAACTGGAATGTAAAGAATATATCAAGATAACCAGAATTGAAATTAGCCTACTAACCTAGTTTATCTATTTACTATTCTTGTTTCTATGTTCAAAATTATAATATTTATCTTTTTCCTTGTCATCTCCTACATTTCTTCAATTTGCATTTGCTCAATTAAAATAGAAAGATCCCTTTCACTCCCAATGTCTTAATATCACCTTGTATCCCTTGGCTATTGGATGAGCAATATTGCAATATACACAATGACACTAATTACTCAGGTCAATTTCTATCCCAGGATGTGAATCTGTAATATTCCAAAGAAAAGACACAGGGAAGAGTGTCAGACAAAGTCATTTTAACATTTTCATTTCTTGACCATATGTGTAAAGCCAAATATGAGAGAATTTAAATGAATGAAATACAAATGGTCTCCTTCAAATAACAAGTTCTAGAAACAGTAAAACATGCTCACCCTGTGAAATCTATTTTTCAAATATACTGAAAAAAAATGTGAGTTAAGCTATTAGTTGGATAACTATATGTTATATTTATTTGAAAAACCACTTTAAATACTTGTTATGTTTCTAAAGGTCAGTTCTGAACTTTCACAATGTGTTTATATTTTACAGGTTGTTTACAGTGGGAAAGAGCTGAACCATCCTTTCGGACTGTCACATCATGGGAATTATGTGTTCTGGACTGATTATATGAATGGTTCCATTTTTCAACTAGATTTGATAACGAATGTGGTGACATTACTGAGGCGAGAAAGACCACCCCTGTTTGGGCTTCAGATTTATGACCCACGAAAGCAGCAAGGTATTAAACACCAAATAAAATTGCTTCTGAGCTTCAAACATAATAACACTTCAGTAGTTACAAAAATATTTTATTTTGACAGTGTTTCTGAAATGTTATGATAAAAGGTTCTACTTACTTCGAAATCAATCAAATCTTGGAATTTGTTACCATAAAAATTTATTATTTTATTGTTCTAAATAACCTGATTGAGTAACTCTGGGAATTCTATCTGAGTGAAGTTCAATGTTTTCTCCAAATACTTCCTTTTGTATCTAGTCTTTACTGAAGGAGTCTGTTGAAGTAAAAACAAACAAACAAACAAACAAACAAAAAACAAACAAAAAAAACCTTTTTAATGGTTTCAAAGATTATTGTGAGCCATTAGAACACATTTTATTGGGAACTAAATATTATGGGAAGATATTTTAAAATACATTATATAAGGAAATTGCATTTTTAACAGTATCTTACTATATTTTATCTTAGTTTCATGTACATTTGAAAAGCACTTAATTAACTTAGGTGATATGAAAGTAAAATAATCTACCATTATATCCATGTCATTAAAATCAGATAATATTCTCTGTTTTATCTACATCTGTGGTTTATTCTATGTTTATTAAGATTTATTAAGCCACCCATGAATACCATGACTAGAATTTAGGGATTAAAGGAAACCATTTGTAAAGTATATAGTAGATTTTTGTTATGATTCTAGTTATCATTCCTTTATTAATGGAAATATTTTTGTGAAAATTTAATGAGCTTAGATTTCAATGCACTTAGTATGAAAAATTATAGCCTGAGTGTTTCATTGCACATGTTGTCAGTAGGAAGTTATGTAGCAACAAGAGTATTCTGAAGATATTTCTGCTAAAAGGAGGACGTTAAAAGAAAATTATCTCAAGAACATTTTTTTCTACCGTATTACAATTGTTTCATTGGAATAAAAATGCAATTTCGTGAAATAATGGAAGTACATAGAGTGAGAAGTATATAAAGCTTTAATAGCTAGTAAAAGATAAAATTATCTTTAAAAATAAAAAAAATAAAATTTTTGAGATGGTATAAACTGTAGTTGTGGACACGAAATAAAGAAGACAACAATTGCCTGTGTTATATTGTAAATAAGCAAGCATAACATAGGATGCCTAATGAGCCAATTAATTAGGAATCTTTATTATGCTAGTGGGCTCAGAGCAGAATATCTCTCTCAAATTCTGAACAAAATATGGTGGAAGTTTCCCCTCTATATATCTTTCTAGCCCTTTTGTCTCCCAAATAAGGGTTTTTCTGAACCTCCTGCAGACTTAACAAAGAGCTCTGTGTAAGTTATTTTTGCAGGCAGCTTGAAACCTTGAACACAGAGTATGGGAGTAGTATTAGCCCCTTACATCAGATGGCTAATGAGCAAGGTCAGCCAACTAACTTTATCTCCCCTGTTATTCACTCAAGCTAAAAAGTAACGTTAATTTACAGAATAAGGAACTGTCTAAAAAATAACAGAGTTGACTACATAGAATAAGGGATCATTTTAAAACAGCAGAGGATTTTAAACATTCATTTTGCAAAATAGAGATTATTACACTTCACCTGCGTAAATCAAATGGTAATATTTCTTGTTACATTCACATCCTCCCTGTCCCTACCCCCGCCATCATTGTTGTTTGCCTACACTAAATTGGAGCCAAGACTATGAACAAGAATAACCCTTCTCATCTGCTGTGGTGTTTTGTTTTCAGGGTTGCTGTTCCCTTTAATTCCACATTGATTAATTTTCTGGATTTTATTACACCAATCAGTATATAATCACATTTCTTTTTTCATTCTCTTCTGAAATTAAATGCAACATACGGATGAGAAATATCTCAGCTAATTGTAAAATGGATTTGGGCTTAAACCCAGATCCTGACACTTTTTCCTTCGTAAACTTGGGACACATCATAAAGATTTAACAAAGATAAGACATGCTTTCTTCAAAAATATTTTATAAGGAATAGATATATATTATATGAGAGTAATTTAGAACAGTACTTGTGTTTTACATTAATTAATTTGCCCCTTTCATTTCTCAATCTGGAGGCATATATTTGGAAGTTTCCTTGCATGTAAGCATTTGAAATAAATAGTTAAATGAATAATGTGTCACAATGATATACTAAAACACATGTCATATGAAGATTATATTTCTATATTTATGAGGAATATATTTGGTGTTCCAGACAGTGTCATTGACATATAATTGTTTAGTGCTGCTTCTTGGATGGACAGTGTATTTTTAAAAAGGACTTTTAAAAGATTGGTAATCAAAGGGACATTAAAATGAAAGTGTATTCTTGATTACTAAATTATTTATGCAGTCTTTATTGTAGAAACCATTATGCTCTGTCTTACTGATAGAATGCATTTGGCCAAATTGATTGTTTTTTATTAGTTTAGGTGAAATAATCAATTAGTTTGTTTTGTACCCAGTCTTTGTGTGGCAAAATACTTACTTGAATCTTTTGAGCAGACAATACGATGGAAAAAGGATACCTGACCAACACCTATTTTACTCAGTCATAGACATTGAAGTTGGATAACCTACTTAGTATCTAAATTTTTAGTTTATTTAACTACATTGATCAAAATAGCTAGATTATAAAGCAAAATGCAATCAGATGTTTAAATACAGACATATTATCTTACCCGTGTTATAATTTCAGCAGTGTTTCTCTTTGCATCTTTTGAACATCAGATATTAATAAATATTTAGAAACATATAATTAGTGCCACATAAAGTTAAGATATATATTGTCTTATTAAACTGTTGGGCTTTTTGTTTGTTTGTTTGTTTTTAAGGATAAAGTAGCTGGAGTTGAATAAAAAAACAAATCCTTAAGTAGTACATATCACTATTCTTCATGGAGTGAAATAACGTAGTCTTAGATAGCCTTCTACTCTCTTTCTCTTCCTTTCTTTTTCTATGAAGGACTAAGGTATATGGCATACTTTATATATGTAATACATATAGACTACATTTATGTATATGCAATATTTATATATATATATGTCTATGAATATATACATGCACATATAAATACATAGATGATAGGTAATATCATACATATACACACTCCCCACCCCACAGGAATACTATAAAAATTATAAGTACTATTAATTTAATATCTAAACTCTTTTAGACTTAGTGTCAGAAAATTAGTTAGCTAATTTTCTCTCTCCAGATCAGGAAAAACTCATCAGATTTTTGGGTAACATACCAGCTTATTTCAGGAACTTTGATATATAACCATACTAAAGAGGCTCTTAATAAAGTTCACACACACACACACACAGCTTCAAAGAAGTCAAATGAAAATGATATTTAATGAACATATATTTATAGAGAAAAGTATGGCACATTTTATCCTTTCTCAGATTGACATCATTCAAAGCTAATTCTTCTGAAATTATCCTAGATGAAACACATAATTTGTCTAGTCTTTATACAACTTTTATTTTCTCTTCTAAACTGCAATTCTGACTATCTTTCTATCAAGTGAAGAGACAAATTCCTATAGATTTATGTTTCATATTAGGATCAGAGACTTCTAACTACACATATGATGGACCTGAGAATTCAAGAGTTTAGGAGACACATAGAAAAGGGAGTTTTTCCTTCCACTATTTTGAAAAAAATTCAGATAAAGGGAAGAATGAAATAATGGGATTCCTTTGCACTAATGGTTTATATATTACACCAATTGCTTCAAGTGAAAGATACTTTATTAATGAAAGTCAAATTACTGTAGCCTAAAAAATCCATATATTAATATAGGCTTAGGAAATGTTTTAATATATCATGTATCCTTATTACTCTTTATGAAAGTTACTGGAGGCCCAATGCATGAAATTCATGTAAGGGGCTCGATCCTCACAGCCCTACCTTTGTCTGAAAGGACGTCTAGAAGGACATCCGGCTGTCTGGTCTAATTAGCATATTATGCTTTTATTATAGATTATATGCCTTTAAATAATTTACATTGATATAATAAGTATGTAGCCAAAGTATGTATGTATACTTACATACAAATAAGACTGTCCCTTTTATCTTAATGAAACAGACATATCTATCCACATGCATGCACCTTATGTCTACACCCCCAAATGACTATTTCTGTCATTCATATTGCTGACTAAAAGTTTCATTCATTGATTCATGTCTTCATTCATCAATGCAATTAATGTTTATCAAACACACAGTCTATGCCAGACACTGTAAGGGACAGAAAAAATCTATAAATTTTAAGATTGAGGAAAAAATACAAATTTTTTGGCTCAGGCAGACCACTATCTTGAACTTAATTTTGAAAGTTATTCCTCATAGAGTTGATTTTTTAAAGTATCTGCTTTAAAAGCAACTTCATTTAGGATTTTATTTTGTTTTATTTAGTATGTTATTTTTCTGAACTTTGTCATACATAAATAAGAGTATATATGATCAATAATTTTAGATTAAGAAAAATCCCTTTCTAATTATTTAGAAATAATGATAATAGTGATAGTAATACCACTGCTATTATCTAGAAATCCTATCTAATAAAAGGGTAGTATGCAAATTAACTATCACTCCATCACAAAGATGGCGGCACCCAGTCCTCTCAGCCCTGCCAGAGTCCCCCAGTCCCGGGAGGGAGTCTGCTGAGAGCAGGCAGCATGAGCAGCCTGGAAGAATGCTTGCTTCATCACTGTGGTGATGAGGCAAGCGTTCCACCTTGGCTGCGGAGGACCTCTGGGCAGCGGGCACAGAGCGGCCGGGGGGTGGGGTGGAACGCTTGCCTCATCGCCCCATTCCTGGCCGCGGATGGGCTTCTGGGCAGTGAGTGAAGAGCGGCCAGGCCCCACAGAGAGCTACTGGTGCACGGATCCGTGCACAAGGCTACTAGTAAATAATAAACTTTATTCTAAATTCTTATTTTTTAATAAGTTTTTTTTATTTGTAGACATTGGAAAAGTCATTAAACCCTATATTCCCACCTGAAAATGAGAGAAAATCTACTTATAAGTTTATTATAAAAATTGAATTCAATGTATATCTAAGGTAACTAGCACTAGAATTGATGCATAATGGATTTTCAATAAAGATAGCTATCAATATGTTTATAAACTCTTTCATTAATATTTATGTATAAAATTTTTAATGCTATTTGTAGTCATTGGTGTTTTCAAGATAATATCTTTACATAAAAAGTTTTGCAAGCTACTAGAAATTTAATTAAAACTATCATATGAGCTCTATTTGGAATATGGTAAAGTAATAAATTAAAAATATATTAGGATACCATTAATATTTTTAAAATATAAGAAATTTTAATAAGAGGTATAAATTTAAATTAATTTTGATTTTAGATTTTTATTATGACAGGACAGGTATCAATTCTTCTGTTTCAACACATAGGATTCACAAAAGGAAATGTATTTAAAAGTTGGAATAATGATAATTCATTTCTAATTACTTAAATTGTACATTCAATAAGACTAATAAGTATGAGTCCTGCTGTTAAATTAAAGAATTTGATATTTCGGTATATTTTCAGTATGACAATATGTTCTAAAATATTTTTTCAGTACCTTCTTATTTCTTACAGTTTTAATTTTCATAGTTTTTAAATTATTTTGAGGTAATTCTAATTTTACAGACTTTGAATTTAATAAATATTGAACTTACAGTTCAGTCCTCTACATATGGTATGTAACAAAGATAGTACTCCTAAGAATAATATGAAACGTTAAATTTTTATTCCATGGTCATGGAATAAGTACAGCTATATTTGGAAGCTGCCTAGAAATTTTTTTGCATCTGCTGTTGGAAAAAGTCTGAACTAAGCTTAATTATCTTCCTAGTTTAGAAATTGTCTTATTGCTTTAAATATTAGCTTCCTTAGCTTCAAAGTGTATCTTTCATTTTTTATAAACATAGCAAATTTAATTTATTTCTCAGAATAATGAAAAGAAATATTTATATACTGTTGATATTCGGGCACATGATGATAATCTATGGAGATGAGTTAAATATTTATTGCATTGGGCAACATTTTAAGTATTCTTTAAACTCATTTATCAACAATTTCTACATAGCACTTCCAACCCCTGAGGCCCACTGTACAATAACTTAGTCCAGGGGTGGGCAACCCCTGGCACATGTGCCAAACATGGCACGCCAGTAACTTTAGCTGGCACGCGAAACCCTCTCTTATAATCTTCCATTTATAATTTTTTTCTTAATATCGACTTTTTTATTTTTTAGATAAATTCAGTGTAGGCGCATCTTAGATAAATAAATAATTTTACATGACAAGTTATCTTAAAGACCACAGACATGGATTGACGAGAGAGGGGCA